AGAAATTAGCCAAATGTATTGGAAGTTCGTTTATTCAGAAATAGTTTCTTTCTTGACTAAATATACTTTTGAAAATAGAATAAATAAATAAAAGTTCTTTTATTTATTTCTCTTATTTCTTGCCCAAGAGACGTGGTGTTCCCTTTATTTGAATGTTGTTTAAATATCAAACATAAGTGTCGGAATAAATAGGAGATGTCTTCTTCAAGAGCACCGTAAACGTAAGGGTCCTCTCTTGTAAAACTTTTCTACTTAAAGATTAAAAAATGATAGTATAAATACCCGATAATAAAGTTAATCGGAGGCAAAAATTCCCGAACTATATTAATAGAAAAGCATAGATCAAAAATGTATTTTTTCTAACTAAACACCCTGGGAGGTTAAGTAAGAAAGGGATCTTTCATTTTAAAATTCCGGGCCAAAAAGTGAGTCAGGAATAGTTACACGAGTTATAGTTACAAGAATTATTTTTAAAAAAAAATAACTTTGTAAAATATATTAATCCGCGTTATTAGCAGAGGTTGAAGGTTGACAAGCTTCTTCTCCATTTTTTGGATTTAAAGGTTGCTCATTTTCGAGCTCAACGTCTTCACCTTCCTCTTGAAATTTTGAGGATTTGGAGAAAGTGTTTGAAGAGCTTGAAGCAGTGGGCCGGACAAGAATGTTTTCAAAGGAGATTGTTTCTAAACCAAGAGTTTCGACAATGCAGTCATCTATATTTGCAATACCATTTTAGCATCCTCCAAAGTATTGCTTTTTATAGTGTAAACAACATGAGTTTTCTCGAGCAAGAAAGAATCCTCTTGACTCAGAATCTGGCTCGGAGTTCTTGGATTTTCGACTGCACCCGCTCATTGTCAAATTTACAATGTTGTAATCCCCTGGGAGATCATAATTGGTTTTGGTGTGCTCAAGATTTTGTTCTATGACCTTTCAGAGCCTATCCTCCATTTTGGCCCTCTTATCTTCGGCTGTAGTAGCTTCCTTGGTCTTTGAGCATAAATTAGCTTCCAAGTTGCTGATTTGTTCCAAGGAAGCAAACTCACACTCTACAGCCCAAGTAACAACATCCTGCCACTCTACCCATTTAATCTTCAACGCATCAAGATCGACATATTGTTGAGTAGCTTCTTGATTATGAGCCATTTTTTCTTGCTCCATTTACCCCAATTTGGCTTCGAGTTCGCCCAATTGAGCAAGTTTTGCCTCTAGGATCGAAAGGCATTCAACAAGTTGATCCTGCCCAGTTTGAAGCGCTTCCTTATAAAGTATCATCCTTTACAATCCCTGAGAAACAAGAAGGTTTGCCTGTAAGGTTAATTTTAAAATAATCGACCATGGTGAAAAATAAGTGTGAAGAACAAGAGGGGAAAAATAATGGTACCGGAGTAGAAAGACGCATGATGTTGTTGATTAAACCTTCGGCGAAAAGAGCATCTATTTTCATCCAATCTTTTCCGTAGCCAGAGGTTTCAAGTAATTGGCTACAACAACCGGTTTGGCGAGTAAGTGGAATTCATCCAGAAAAGTAAAGGTAACACTTCGTTTACCATTAGGGTTTCAGATGGAAGCCACAAAGATATTTTCTATGTTCCCTTGATCATGTGACCGGGGGTAACATGCACCTTGCTCTCGATCGATGGTGATTGGGGGAAGAACAATAGCCGGTGGTGGAGCAGAAGTTGGGGCAGCACCTGGAGCAGAACCCTTCTGGTCGGTGAGAACAACAGGAGTCCAAAAAGGAGAGTCAGTCATTTAAGCCAATTTAGACTCTCTAAAGAGTTCCTCCACGTCCTCCGGTTGAACTATAGATGTTCTCCTTTTACTTCTTCTTTGAAGAGAAATCGTTTCAGTGTCGTTATCGGTTTCTTCTTCATCAAGGACCATAGTGTTCGATCCTCCTAGATTCTCCTTTATAACCGGGGGCTTCTCTTTAGCCTCAGTCTTAGAGGAATGCTTTCTTTTTGGTTTCTTCCTCTTAGTCCAGGGACTGATTGATTATGTGCCTTCACCGGAAGCGAGAGATACATCACGAGCCTTTTTCGGTCAAGGGCCTCTTGAAATCATTGTTGGGCCACCTTCAGGTCGAGTAAAACCTCAACAACCGGAAAAACGGATGACTCCTTTGGAAGGCCTGAGGTTGGAGCATGATAAGTTAGCAATCTATTACCGAATGAAGGCACATGTCAACAAGAAGAGAAATATGAAGATGTTCTTACTGTGATTTTTGCACTTTCAATGTTTCTTTATTTAAATTTTCTTCCACAAGCGGAGTTCCGACGTGGAAGTATCCAAATATTTTTGAACTTATTGGGTTAGGTTCTCTACTACTGGGGAAAACCAGAGAGTGGCTAAAATAGAAGGAAGAAAAGTTTAGGAATTAGTGAGAACACTTTTAAAATGAAAAAGATAGAGATATTTGAGAAGACTTACGTGTATAGTTCCAAGCTTTAGGAATTTGGAAAGTTGATGCTGGTAAAATATCTTCGGGAGGTCGCTAACCTCTCCATCTAACCACGATCATCATCATCATCTACACTAGTGATGATAACATTGTGACCACGTTTGCTGAGTTTGATCACGACTCCTCAGAAGATCTTGGGAGCATAAAGGCGGATTAAATGTGTAAGAGTAAGATTTTCTTGTGTCCGGGAATACAGTTACCAGAGACAAGATACCGCATGCCATATCGTCGGACCACTTGAGCCAAACAGACTTGATAATTCCGGCAAAATTTAAGAATGATCGGATCTATTTTCTTTTTAAGTCTGAGGGTAAAAGGGTATGTATAAACGAAAACATACCCTGGTTTGCTGAAAGTTACCCTCTCCACTTCGAGTCGGGTCAAAACTTCATTATTCTTCAATTCACAATCCTCCTTTACAATGGGGATACTGGCCGGGCAAATAGAAGAAGGATATTCATCAATCGCTCTATTTTTGTCGTCATCAGAGTTGGAGTAAGTATTTTGGACCTGGAGATCCTTTTAAAAGACCATTTAGAAGGGATGATTGTATTTGTTGTGAGAGGTTCAGTGTTAGAGTTCTTGGGTTCGCTATTCTTGGATGGTCCGTCAGGATATAAGTCCTAGCCTTGGTGGATGGAGAAAGAGATGAACTCATAGTAATATAGTGTTGTTTGGTGGCAGAAGATGAGTTGCCGAAGAAGAAAATAACAGAAGACACGGTGACTAAAAAAGTGAAATTTGATATTCAAACTCGAAAGTTTTGCTGAGAAAAGGGAATTGCAAACATTTCTAAGAGATTTGTTGAAGAGGTGCGGGATGTTAAGCCCATTAAATGCGAAGAGACTTGCGTTATTTCAAGTGTCAGACGTCGTTCAAGAACTTTTCCTTCAAGAAAAGAGAAGGTCTTATCTACTTCCCGGTCACATCAAGTTGATTCACTGAAATGTAGGGGACTATCTGTATTATATAAAATATATAGCTTACAGGTGTACATTTCTCGAGCAGACACGTGGTAGTGATGATAGAGTGGAGATGAGTTAGTAGATAATTAATACCGTATAGTAGCACATAACCAGTATTGTATAAATTCTGAAGAAGTAGAGATCGGGGAAGAGAATTTGAGAGTGAGTTACCAGTTAGAAAGAGCAACATTAAAGGAGCAGCCATTACTGAAAATCATAGAATTTATTCCCAACACTATGCAGCCATCAAAGAGGGAATTTTATTCATCTTTAAGCGGGTATGATTTGGAGATCTTGTCTCCTCAGATTTAACTATAAATAACAACATTTGTACTCAATGTAGGGACACGAAATACTAGAACTACAAAGGCTATCATTCTTTCTCTCATTTTCCTAAACTTTATAAGATTGTTATCAAGAGTTTTCAGTTATTCTTAATTCCGGTGGGATTAACCTGAAGTCCACGCTTGTTTTTCTTTAATTATCCTTATTTTATTTCCTTTATTCTTCGTTATTTTATTAATCAGATCAATTTAATATATGTGTCTATAAATCATGTTTACAAATTCAACTGTACCTCTTTTGCGGTTAAACAAATTCAAGCCACAAATAATAGACTGCGAGCGAATCCAGGTTTTAAATCTTATGGGTTCAACTTTTAATGTTTTTAGTATTGAACCCATTATATTTTTAAAATTATGAGTTCATATCTACTATTTTTATAATTTTAATAAATATTTATACATAAATTTTTACTTCACGTAAAAAATTATGGGTTCAATTGAACCCGGTGATACTACGCTACATCGGCCGTAAAAGTCGATATGCCTTGTAAAAGAGAACTCTGCTTTTCCTTTACGGGTTCAAGTTAAAAGCTGAAAATAAAGAAATTTCTAAAAGTAATTGAGTTGATTTTAATTGGATTGGTTTTGCGTACTGATGCGATGATTGGATACTAACTTATACGAGTAGTCGCGTATTAGATACTTAGAATTTAAAAATAACAGTTAAGTTGCACAAATTAGTCACGTCCTTCTAGGCTTGCTACCAGGTTTCTCCATGATCGGATCATACTAAGGGATAGTTAGCAATTTACTTAGCTGACTAGTGCATTTCTTTTCCCCGCAATTCACTGAAATTTAGTTGCTAATGGCTGGATCAATTTGCTGTCAAAGTTCATTTGGACTTCAGTCAGATTTGGTAACTTTCCCATTTGGACTTTCGTCTTCATGTGACCCAAAACAATTGTCCATTTGATCAGCTGACGTATGTTTATGACTTTGAACTTTGTTGTAGACTTTTTTTTTTCCTCGGGATAATCTATTTTCTTTTGTTATGTTTTTTATGTAAAAATTAAAATCCTCGATATTTATATGTACCCTCATTACTTTATGCACTAAATGTTTACACTAACATCTTTTGTATTATTGGGTACTTCAAAAAATCGATTCAATGATGTATTATGTTTATTGGTAATTAACTGTGAAAACTTTCGCAATTTTAGGAAAAGCAGAAAGAAAAAGAAGCATTTCTTTCATTTTGTTAATTAAATGGAGTGTTTATATATGCAGACTACGATTGAGGTATTTGGCGATTGGTACTACGATCGGAAATACTCCTATGTGATCGATGATCATGACTTGCCACTCCCTGTTTATTTATACATCAACGGTACTCTCAAATCAAGAGGATAATTTTGTTATTAATGTTTATTTATGTGATATTGCATTTCACTGTATGAAATTGTTGCCAATTTGTAAGAATTGTTGACAAGTGTATCACTTTAATCAGCAACTTTTAAACTCATACTGCTACCACCGTATAAAACTAAGTTTGACTATTGAGTTCATGTTTCATTTCATATGATACTATTAACTATTTTTTAAGAGACTGTTGCCCAAAAAAAAAAGGGTAGCTTCTATATCTAAAACAAATTTAACTTTAAACTTGAGCTCATGTTACTCTTAATGACATATTTCTATAGCCACAAAAATTACTTGGTAATTTTAAGATAATAAGTTTTAATATTTTTAAACCTATATACACTACTATAAATTCGGTAAAAATCGACCAAGGTCGACCGACCAACTTTGGTCGGTAAAAAAACCGACCAAAGTTGGTCGGTTTTTCAAAATATTTTTTTTTTAATTATTTTTTTTACGAAACCGACCAACTTTGGTCAGTTTTCTTTGGCCCAAAAATACGGAAAACTATTTTTGAGTCCCGCGAATTTTATGTTTCAAGAAACCGACCAATTTTGGTCGGTTTTTCAATTAATATAAATAAAAATTAATATTAAAAAAACCGACCAACTTTGGTCGGTTATTTTCGTGCAAAAATACAATTAAAGAGTATAAATCAAATAAAAAACAGTCTTAAAACAAAATGTACTAATGATCTAGTGGTAGAATAGTATCCTGCCACAGTACAGACCCCGGTTCGATTCCCAGATGGTGAATCTTTTTTTTACATAATTAAAATACCGACCAACTTTGGTCGGTTTTTTTTGCAATATTTTTTTTTTTGAATTTAATTGACCGACCAAAGTTGGTCGGTAATTTCCGACCAACTTTGGTCGGTATTCCTTTCCGACCACAAAAATACCGTCCACACGTAAATGGTCGCGTTTTGGTCGGTTTTTGGCCATTACTGACCAACGTTGGTCGGTTTTTACCGGATTTCTAGTAGTGATATTCAATCAAACACGACCACATCATCATATTATATTAAAAGTATGAACACTTAAACTGAAATATAAAACGAAAAATATCTTTTTAATTGATAATGGACGGTTATACCCTTTAAAGCTAAAGCACTTCTTCAAGCCACTTCTTTTACGTTACCAGCAATACATAAATGGAGGAGTTACAATTAATCACTATACAAAACAAATTCATCTTTAATGGAAATTGTATTTAATGGTCATTCTTTATAGAAGTACTTAATAGTGAACGAAAATTACTAGTATCTCAACAACGGAAGCATTTAAATTAGATGAATACAATTATAAATTAGTGAATGCCACTTCTGATTCTTGAATAGCTGCGGAGTATAAGATTTTACTATAATTACGGATCTCTTAATATTCTCCCTTTCTGTAACGATATTCCAAAATAATTCTACCACATTACCAAAAGGCGGATATCTTACATTACTGTCACGATCCAAATCTCACATGTCGTGATGACGCCTATCGCAATACTAGACAAACCGACAATCCCAATAAATCACGCATCTTTAAACTTGAAAACATAGTAAAATAAGCTCAAGAGTAAAAGTCTCATAAATACTGATGAGAAAATACCGCAACTCAATATAATATCCCCAAAAATCCGGATGTCACTGAGTACATGAGCATCTAAATGAAAATATAATCTGACTGCTAAAAACACTGTCTAGAAAGATAGAACAATACAGATAAATGAAAAGAAGGAGAGTCAAGGTTTGCGGACGCCAAGGCAGCTACCTCGATAGTCTCAAACAGATAAAAGCTCCAAAGCTAGCAGCCGACGTACAAGGAAGTACCTGAATCTACACACGAAGTGCAGCGTGTAGTATAAGTACAACCGACCCAATATACTAAATAAGTAATAAGACTAACCTTGGTCTGAAAGCAGTGACGAGCTCAACAGGTACAATCCAAATACATAATTTAACAGTACAAAAATATAGATATGCTTTCAAGTTCAACATTTTAAGCTCAAAACACATAAAATATGCCAAGTGTGACTGAAATGAGGAATAATACATCACTATATCTACATTTCAATTATGCATGCCAACTGTAATACAACACATCGATAAAATCATATGCATACTCTCGGAGTATGAATTTAGTGAGTCCTCTCATTCACTCAATCCTCACGGTCACTCAGTCCTCCCAATCACTCGACACTCACACTCTACAATCGCACTCTACACACGCGCTCGACACTTAGTAGGTACCTACGCTCACTGCTATTAAGCCAGACTCCGGAGGGGCGGATCCTATCCAAGTGCTAAAATAAGCCAATCATGGCATGAATTAATAAAGAATCTTTACCATGCTTAGTTCAACAATCTTCCTACACCCCTTGATATCACATGCATGTAAAATAATCAACTCTCATGCCCAAAAATTATCTTGCTAATTACCCATTTTCAGAGGATTTCGAAATTAGGGTTAGGGTGTAGAATCTTACCTCTAGAATGAAGACCTAGTCAGATTGCCTTGTTAATCTTCCAAAACTTGAGCAAGAATTGAAGAATAATTATTGAAAAATACCTTCTCACTCTAGGGCACTCTCTCTCACTCTAAAATGGTAGATTATATCTCAAAAATGGCCCAAAATGTGTATTTAACGAAGTAGGGTCGGATTTTAAAAATCTAAAAATGAAGCTCCGGAACAGGTTTTGCGGTCGAATATGCGACTGCATAATGGTTATGCGGACCGCATATCGGTCGCATAATTGGTGTCCAAAATGACCAAAAATCTGCTTGAGTCTGCGGTCACTATGCGGTCCGCATAACTGTTCTGCGGTCGCATAGTGCATCGCATAACAGTTATGCGGATGCATAGTCGATCGCATAATTTCTTCCAACTTACCTCATTAAGTGCCTCACTCTACGGCCATTATGCGGTCGCATAATGGACCGCAGAAATGCACTTTTCCGCCAAATATTTTTTTTTACTTTCCGATGTATTGTTCAACCCAAAATGTCCGAGACCCAACACGTAAAACCAATTCGGCACAACGAAACATTACTTTCTTTTGCAAAATTTTACGTGGTTTTACACTTAAGTACTTCAAAATTTTCCGGGGTGTTACATTCTCCCCCGCTTAGGAATATTCGTCCTCGAATGAGGGTAAAAATCCGCCATTAGCGTCTTATGCAACTTAGTTTGTTCTATACGACAAACTAGTAGTCCCAATTTTGACTAACTCCCTAAATTTTCAAAAATTTTGCCAGAGTTTCCTTTGTAATTTGGCCTATCCACCTGTCAGAGAGCCCCAGAAACATATTCTAACAGCATATACATAATCCAATGGTGTAACATAATATAAAACAACATCAACTGTGGCCTCATAAGCAATATATATTTCCAGAACGGAACACCCTTAACATCAAATGTACAAATCATATATAATTCATAGAAAGTAAGTCTTATAATTTTCCTAGATCACAACTTTATAAATACATGGTCATTCAAACAAATAAGGATACTTTTTCTTCATTTCTTCCTCGGCCTCCCAAGTAGCCTCTTCAACCTGTTGGTTTCGCCATAACACTTTCACGGAGGTAATTTCTTTATTTCTCAATTTTCGGACTTGGCGATCAATAATAGAAATCGGAATTTCTTCGTAAGTCAATTTCTCATGTACCTCAATTGTCTCAACCAGAACAATGAGTGTCGGATCTCCAACTACTTTCTTCAATATAGACACATGAAACACTGGGTGTACTAATGACATCTCGGGTGGTAGTTCAAGCTTGTATGCCACTTCACCAATCCTCGGAATGATATTCTACGGTCCGACATACCTCAGACTCCATTTCCCTTTCTTACCAAATGGCATTACACCCTTCATGGGGAAAACTTTTAAGAATACCCAATCATCTTTTTTTGAACTCCAAATCCCTACGACGAATATCCGAATAGGATTTCTGACGACTCTGAGCAGTCTTTAACCGCTCCTTAATGATTTTAACTTTTTTCATAGCCTGATGCACGAGGTCTGGCCCTATCAACTCTGCTTCCCCAATTTTGAACCACCCAAGGGGAGATTTACATCTCCTACCATATAAAGCCTCGAACGGTTCCATTTGAATGATAACATGATAGCTATTGTTGTATGCAAATTCTATGAGTGGTAAATGATCATCCCATCTACCTTTGAAGTCTAGAACACAAGCATGCAACATATCCTCAAGTGTCTGAATAGTCCGCTCTGCCTGCCTGTCAGTCTGCAAGTGAAAGGTTGTACTAAGATTCACCTAAGTACCCAAACCTTGCTGGAATTTCTTCCAAAAGTTAGCAGTGAATTGTGCTCCCCAGTCAGAAATGATGGAAACTTGGGTGCCATGCAACCTGACTATTTCTTTGATATACAATTGAGCATACTGCTCTACTGTGTCGGTAGACTTAACCGGTAAAAAGTGTGTTGATTTGGTGAGTCAATCCACAATCACTCAAATCGAGTCAAACTTACGAGGAGTACGAGGATATCCTACCACAAAGTCCATATTAATCATTTCCCACTTCCACATTGGAATTTCTATATTCTGTGCCAACCCACCAGGCTTCTGGTGTTCGGCCTTCACCTGCTGACAATTTGGACATCTCGCCACAAATTCCGCTACATCTCTCTTCATATTGTTCCACCAATAGACCTCCTTAAGATCATGATACATTTTCGTAGAAACCGAGTGCACGGAATACTTAGAAGTGTGAGCCTTATTAATGATTCTTTCCCAAAGACCATCCACATTTGGAACACATAACCACCCTTGGTACCTTAGTGTACCATCATCCAAGCCGAGAGAAAAAGACATAGTCTTATGTTCATGAATACCCTCTTTCAATTGTGCCAACAATGGATCGTTGTATTGCTTCTCTTTGACTTTCACAACAAGCGATGATTCAACCCTATTTTTCACAATTACCCCTCCTTCACTAGAGTCCACAAGACAAACTCCTAAACTAGCCAATCGGTGAACTTCCTTGGCCAATAACCTTTGGTATGCCTCCAAGTGTGCTAAGCTACCCATAGATTTCTGGGTAAGAGCATCTGCCACAACATTGGCTTCCCCGGATGCNGATGATATAGAATA